AATCACAGATCTATAATGTTTTCCAATGACATCAAAAATTAATGTGATATGATTTCGTCAACTTTATATATGAATGTAAAGTTCAACTACTTATAAGTAGTAATAAACATTTGTGAAAAAAATATTTACAAAGAATTTAAGTAATATCTTATAGGTATCGTTAGTTTATGAATATTTAATTTTGAGAAAGTAAATTCTCTTAAATATTGAAACAAATTTTCAAGAAACATTGTAATGGTATTTTATGTGAATTCTTGTTATTTGTACTTTTCTGTAATGCAATAATAAAAAAATAGAGAATCATGAAACTAATAGATTGTTTTAAATTGAAATATATCCACCGAATCATAAACCAAATTATATATAGATTTTTATTGTTTAAAAACATATGTGTTTTAAAGTACTTACATCTGTTACTCCTCGTGGAGCTGGGCCGTCAATCAATAATCTCTAATATGCTCTGTCCTGGCTTCTCATTTCTAGTTCCTTTCAAGTACTTGGTGAACTACTAAAGCCATAATCCAGAAGATAGAAGAGTTTATTAACAGTTGACAACGCAAAATACTTCGGATCAGTTGGCCAGACACTGTGGGAGAGAACAAATCGGATTCCAACGGAGGAAGGAATCAGGAAGAAGTGCTGGAAGTGGATAGGACACAACTGCGTCACAAGGCAAGCCCTCACTTGAAATCCTCAAAGCCAAAGGAGAAGAGGAAGACTAAAGAAATAATTACGCCGGGAAAGGGAGACAGACATGAGAAGAATGAACAACAATTGAATAGAACTAGAAAAGAAGGCTTAGGACAGAGTGGGTTTGAGAATGCTGGTCGGCGGCCTATGCTCCACTGGGAGTCACAGGCGTAAGTAACTATTCATTCTCTTGATGTCTACCTTCACTTCATGATGAAATGCGTTCTTTCCTTTTCTTCTTTTGTTTTAGCCTTAAGGATTTCGAGTTAGGGCTTACTTTTGATATAGTTTGATGATTTCCCAATGTGTGTCCATCTGGGACCCATATAGGGTTGCTTCTGGTCCTAAGGTCGTATAAAAGAAAATGGTTGGGTACAGAATTAGTAGCCACATCCCTTAGAAAAGAACCTCACTAACAAACGTCCTCAAGAAAGAAATATATACACATGACAAATTGCATATCTACGAACGATGGAATGCTTGTTAGGATTTCATGAGTTGTGGTTTGGAATTTTTCTAAAGTTTTAATAACTAAAAAATTAAATGTAAAAAAGAAGGAATATACGAAATCTGAGCAATACATGATCATTCAAGTGAATTAGGTATCTGTAATGTTGTGAATGACCAAAGTTTCCATAATAAGCAGTTGGTTTAAGCATAAATCTCTCCATTTATTTGACGGGGTTAGGTAAATGATGTCAAAGAATGAGATAGAAGCCCCACAAAAGTAATTGGTCTATGCATAATGAAGTGGTCAGTCGTGAAAAGTTGTATTTAACTCTGGGGCAATATACTTAATCTACACATTGATTGAAACAAATATTTCAGATATATTAATTTGAAGTACAATATTAACATAAAAACTGTGATATAAGTTTTTATGATGAAATAAAGAACTTTCCTTCAAGATCTTGTGACCAATTGGTATAGCTAGTTTAGAAATAATTCCAACTGGGAATAATTCTAAACTCATTAAGTTATGCTTTATTTGGTTAGTTAGGTAGAAGATTTCTAAGTAAAAGTATTTATAGTGAAATAAATTAATATCGGTATACACGTTTTATTAAATCTGTTGAATTTTAGGGTTAGCTTCACTGAGTGGTCTTAACTAAGCAGCCATTAAAAACCAAGAACTGGACAGCTGTTTCTTCAACGTTTCGTGGATGCTCACTTCTGAGCAGTCACCTGTTAGATCTAAATATCTATCCAAATGTTCCTGGTTTTTTGATAGCTATCTGATTCAGGTAGACTCGTAACGTAAACCATATATAGGCCTAAAGTAAGGTATAGGTATTCCTGTAATGAACGAGAAGTGGAAACGACAGATTTATTAGTTCATACAAAATTACAGAATGTCTTCGTAAAATCTGAGAACCATACATCAAATGCTTCATTTGCAAATCTTCTATCAATTGTCTTTTACATTCTGTATGATTCTCCCAAATCACAATTCCTTCCTATTTCCTTTTCTGCTGCCAGCCACTCAACCTATGATTGGTGTTACATACTCTTTATGTCTGTTGACGTAATCAGCATATACCATATCCCTATTTAAGCTCAAGCGAATTAAGTGTAGAATCATTTTATTTCAATTAGATTTTAATTATGGATTCACCTGTTCTTCAAGTGACAGTCATTTTAGCATTAATTAACCAGACAATGAATTAGTGAGAGTAGTAAATGATCACGTGAGTACGTCAATGATAAATGTGGGTATAGTAATTTCAGCATTCCCAGGTGTAATCTATTAAGGAAGTTTAAATAGTTTCTATGCAAATGATTGATCACCTATTATCTTTATACAAAACTGAAATTTCTTGTTGAAATGTAGTGTTAACAATAATTAAGTGAGAATTAAAGGAGACCATCGATACAATTTGGAAAATGTTAACGACAAGTAAGTTGTAAACAGTTGTCAGTCATATCAAACATCAGACTGACAAGGTACAGGTTATATTTATGACCAAGGTAGCGCGAGAAAGGTTATAAATAACATTTGAAATCAATGATTCTTCTTGATGACATGGTTATTGATATCTGCAAACGTACTCAATGAATGTAAACATAAAACTTGTAGTAAACTAAATCGCTTAAAAAAATCACATAAAGTGGTTTATATATTGTCAACTCAATGAGGTGTACCTACTAGGTTACAAGGTATTTATCTATTAAATACTGTTAATTGTTTTTTGCTCGATTTACTTTTACTTTTAATTCTGAACATTTGAGGAATGAAGATATCTTTAACTAAAGTTCAAAACCATTGATTCACATTTTTAACTATTTTACTAAAATAAGATATGAATGGCTGTTAGTTTAGGGTGGGGTGTCTGAAAATCTGCAAGAGTTAAGCTAATGAAATACGTTGGTTTTTTTACTGTTATGTACTTATGGCCTGCGAATATATCACGTGACTGATCGCCAGTTCGAACATCGACTTTCTGACCAGACCAATGACGCATAAACCAGTACAAGCAGTCTAGATTCAATTCTGGGTTCTTATTGGTCCACCGAGATGGTACCTTCTTGTCTAACCCAGCCGGTTTAGTCCAAAACACCAATATCAACCTTCACTTTATGATTCGTGTATTTCAGACATAATTTATATACAAACAAACCTCACCACATCATACCATAAAACAGAAAATAATTATACAAGATCAAGCCAAAAAGTGGCTGTGATCGTAAGACTGTAATTCAGAAGTTGGGAATAAGTTAGGAATGGTAATTCGTATAATAGTGGACAATAGCTCAAATAGACGCTTTTATTCAAAGGAATATGAATATACATATAATATAGTTACTTAATATTAATACAATAAGAATATACATATAATGACAGTCCGTAAATAGATCCTAGCGGTTACTGTTCACTTATTCTTCGTCCGGATATATAATACTTAGATTATTAAAGCTAGTTAATCAAATCACAATAGGGCAAATATATTTATGTATTAAATTGATCACTTAATATACTTTTTGTTTTCTCATAAATAAACCTGTAATATATTTACTTTTTCCATAAAGTGACATATTTACAATAAAATTACCACCTCTGGTTACGTTACTAGTATGAATATATCATTTGGCGATTCATAAAGAAATTAATACTGTAGTTAAAACTGAACATTAAAAATCTATCGAATACCAATTAATATATCCAACAATCCAAAAAAATGGAAAAAAATCCCGTAGAACTTTCTTTCTTTCCTTGAAAAAGCTTGGACCAGATTGCCGGGCGAAACGTCATATTTACTTCAAATTCATTCGCTGAGATTTAACAAATACATTCTTCCTCTTTAATGCTTCTTTCTTTCTTTCTGTTTGTACACTGTTTATTTATTTTAAAGTATTCGTATTATTTTTCTTACCAGCACTATCCATCCAACCCTGTCCTGGGCAATGCTTTCCAGTTGTTATTCATCCTTTTCATATCTGCTTCTGTTTTCCGACGTTATGTGTTCTTTGGCCGTCTTCTTTTCAGCTTTCCTTCGGGATTCCAAGTTAGGGCTTGTCTCGTGATGCATTTTGGTGATTTCCATTTCCATCGTCTTTTCCTAATTTCCTCTTCATCTGGAAGTTGGTTTGTTCTCACCCACAGTAGTCTGTTGCTGACGGTATCCGACCAGTTATTAAATTTTGATAAAACAGAAGAGGATACCTTTTTTAATGTCAGAAGGGGTTTTGTGGATATTATAGTAATTTCAATAGTTGAAATCATGAGTCAGTTGAAGTTAGACCACCACAATAGGACAAAACGGCCGTTCAGTGCTTCCAGGTTTTCCATGTTGATCTAGCTTCAATTAACTCATGATCTCAACTATTGAGATACCCTTTTTTGTTAAAAAAATATCTGTATCCGTATAATGAGAAAATAGTTAATTATTCAAATTCAGTTGAACCGAATCACATTTCATACTTGGCTATAATTAATTATTTACTTGTAACACATGATAGAGCTTACACAATTAGATGATTTTATTATTATAAAATAATTGTTAAAAGTAAAACATAAAGCAATAAAAAGTTTGTATTCACTATGTGACTAAAAATCTACGTAAGTCAATTGTTGTGAAGCTGATACTGTTCATGAAAACAAGAATCTACTATTCCCTGAACCACACTCTGAGCTTTCAGTCGATTATCACTAATCATTAAACATAACTTTGAAACATATATCATTGTTTCAATAATGAAACCTGTTATATTTTGATGCAAGTAGACTACCAATAAAATAACTATCAAAATAATTAATAGAAAATTAACAATAACTTAATTAAATTGAAGTGTACTTCGAAAAGTAACTATCAGGGAAATGAAATCTGATAAGTATGGTAACTTGATCATGTGCTATGACTGATCCATTGTAGGTTTTGTAAAAGTATAAAATCTTGATATTTATCACATGATCATTTAGTATATATATGTGTGCAATTATAGCACTTCGAGGTACGGTTTTAGACAATTTTATGCCAATTGTTACTTCCCGATCTCCCAAGTTACCTAAGATATGTGGGATTCATAATTTGCATCATTCAGTAAGAAAACAACAAAATGTAAATCGTCAACCACGTAAAAATCCCGTAGTCAGATTAAAAAAGCCGAGAACTTTTGGACTTTATCTAGTAACCAAAAAAAATCAATACAATATTACAAGTTTCCAAATAAGTTTAAGCTATAAAGTATTATGTCGAAGTCCTAATCTTGCACTGAGGAATAACTATTCAACACACTGTGAATTATTACCAATTGACTATTTAAAACGCGATAATTCAGCAATACATCAAAAACTTCCACGTGAAATAACTACTGATCGATTGTGTGCGTTAATCTTGCCTAGTCCACATATGAAAAAATTAGAAAACAAAAATGTAATATTAAATCAGAAATCAAGAAAATTATTGAAAAAATCTCCAGAATTACAATTAATGAGTGATAAATATCGATTGGCAAATCTTCAAAGTAAAATACCCAAAACAAAACGATTCTTGGATCCCAAACTTTGTGATCGACTTATTTATAACAGTAGTCGATTGAAATTTTTTTATGATTCATTATACCAATGTAACCTTCCAGCAATTAAATTTGTATTGGAACGTGAACCTGGTTTGATTTTAGACGCTATTGAACCGAATACTGGTTATTCTACTCTATTAGTAGCTTTATTAATTAAATCTCCTGTGAGACGAGAAAAACTTATGAAATTGTTATTGAAATATTTAACCAAATATATAAATATGTACAATGATTGTATTAATGAAAGTGAGATATGTGAACAGATTATTCAATTGAATGATCCAATTGAAGGACGTGATTGTATTGGCTGGACATGTATATTAGGTTTTGAAAATGAATTCAGTTTATTAATTACACATTTATTAGCCAGTATTGATTTTCATAAATCTGACTTCTATGGTAATACATATTTACATTTAGCTATAATGGGTGGTTCTGTTAATATTGTAAATTGTTTATGTCAATTTATGCGAAAGTATTGTATTTCAATTGAGAATTGTATTAATTTTTCTGGTTTAAATCCAATTCAATTAGCCTATCGTTTACACTTCTATTCAATTTTAGATATTTTAAAACAATGAGTTTGATTAAAATGTCAATAATTTTGTTTGTAATGCTCTCTTCTTTAATCTCATCTTAAGGAATTAGATTGATAAATTAAGGTTATAATTGATCTTCATCTAAATCGCTCAGTATGGGGTGATTATAAAAGAAAAGGAGTAAGTATTTTTGTAAAAATATTTTCATCTGTAATATTTTGGACTATCCTGTTGTTAATAATTTACTTAAGTTTTAGTCAATCTTGGTTGACATCTATGCATTATGCATAGATTGTTTCAATATAGCCATGATGTCACAAGTTTCTATAAAGTTCATAGAATGTGACTCTCAGTGGAATCCAATACTCTTGTTTTGTCATTTTAATTTAATTTTGAACAATACATTCAGGTAAATCCAAATCACGTGTCCTTAATAAGATAAAACGCGAGTCTTTGATTTCGCTGCTAGCTACATTCTATTTATTCTATGTAGAAATATAGTTTATCATTAGGATTTATATAATCTCAATTAAGTTAATTGACCATAACAAACTCCAGTACAATAGTTAAGGTTTATAATTGATTGGGTTGACCTATTAATTTGCAGATCGATTGTATTTTAATGTAAGTCAGAAAATGTAGATAACTTTTTGTCACCATGATTAGTGGTACCGGGAAAATAGGATGGTTTATTAACTATTTGTAATTTATTGGTTATTGTGTAGTTTTATAAAAACCTAAAAAATGAAAATCAAGAAATTTATTTAGTTACATCATGAATGATTTAATTCAGTTAAGGTATATCTATAGTTCAAATTAGATTAGCATGGTATATATTGAATAATTTTGAATTAATTCATAGCTAAACTGCAAAAGATTTTGTCCCTTTGATCTATTTTATTAGCGTATTAAGTATCTATAATTTCAAGACTATTAGATGGATATCGTAAACATCGCCTGGTTCAAACGTCCTAGGTTCATTGATCCAAACTATTTCCAGAATCGAACAAAATTTCTGTTCATGTGTTAGTGCTGTCCAATGGTTCTCGAACAATCTCTAATTTCTAATCAAAACTAACTTCATAATTACTGTTAATAAAGAAAGCATTTAGAAATTTAGCTTTGGTTTGTTTGCAGATTAAAAAAATAGGTTAATAAAAGAAACAGTGAAATAACGGTGATTAATTACTACTGAAATAAGAAAACGGCTCTACGGTTGTACTGATGAATGTATCTTAATATGTACGGAAAATGATTACGATTCTAGAATATCTGGGGAAATTTATAATTAAAAATTTAAACAACGACAAAACTTTAATACTAGAAAATCAAGTTACTAAACAGATAAAGAATTCTTAACAAGGGCCAAAACTGATGCAGCGAGTTCAAGTCAGATGACTCATATCTGACATTCGTGTATGTACATGCCTAATTAAAGGAATCCTGTAAGTCGATAAGACCAATTATCTCCATTATTGATTCATTCTGCTAGAGACTGGGTTGATAATCAACTAAAACACTGGAACCAATTTGTAAAACGTGGGGTACGCACAGTGTAAGGAGTACTTTTTAACTTACAGAAGTTAAAGACTATATGAATATACCAAATAAACTTGTAGTTTAACATGATATATATTTGTGCTGTTTACTAACATTCCTTAAAAAGAAATAAGTGATATTATTATCCATTACTAGTATTCCATATCCATACTATAGATATAAATCAAAAAGCCTCCAAAACTAGACTAGGCAGAAAAATATCAAGCGCCAGTTGAAAGATAAATTATACTCTCAAGAAGATTGCATGACTGTGAAAAACCTTTTATGATCAGTGCTTGCTGATGTATTTCTTAAAAACATACAGAGAACGAAATAACTGGTTGTTATAAATGTGATTACATCCTGTATTAGGTATGCCGATGATACTTTTGCATCAGAGTAACATAAATTACGTCAATAAGGGACCAAAAGTTTCAAATAAAGTTGAATCCAATATTAAATATACAATGGAACATAGAAGAAATGATGAAGTCCATCTAGAGGAGGAAAGTAAAGTAATCAATAACTATCTTCGAAGCTACCTTCAGGAGTCTAAAAATATATAGCACTAAACATCATGGTTCGATATAGGCTGGCAAAACCGTTTTAGTGACCTATCTGACTCCATAATCTATGGATTCCCAATATATAAATGCCGGATTAACTTCAAGTATATTTTTCGACTTGTCACATTTATACAACTTTGAATCAGAATTAGAATAGGAAATGTTATTAGAAATGTTATATTTCAGATATATGTATGAAAGATAAACACATGCAGAATAGAATTAGCATACTACCCAACTGTAATTACTTTTGTGCATGTAGAGTAAATGCAGTGGTTTAATAGTAATAAATGAAGACAGAAAGACAAGGCGCACATGTAAAACAATACTATATGGCCAAATGAAATAATAGGGTTACTTATAAAATAATACGTCTATAGGTCACAATTACATATGAGAAGCACTGAGTTATTAGGGGATTAAAATGACTAGTTAGTCACTTTCTCTGTGAGTTATTATTGTTGTCTATGTTACATATAGATTCAGGGCAATATATACGAAGATATGACACCATAAAAGAAACATGCTTTTGTCCACTTAATGTTTAGAGCATAGGTAACATAAACAAACACTAAATGCAACTCTAAAAAGTATATTTCTAGCAGCGAAATCGGTTCAACAGTATAAAAAACGAAATACACAATAACAAGCAAAGGAGGACAAATACCAATCATACGTCATATCTAACTGAATACACCAGTTCACAAGCACGTTCAAAAACATTTACATTTGAAGGACAGAAAGACGGAGACCTACACATTGTCCAATGAACATAAACCTCTGGAAACATAACAGCCTTCTGTCTTGACTATTAAAAGGCTTTACCCTAATCTTTGGATTCAAAAATAGTTAGCAATTAGTCTCCAAGTGGCTTAAGGTACTTTCAGATAATAACAGCTAATCACAAATGAGTTTTAAATATAACTCTTCTAAGTTAAGGTTGCATAACCAAGTTTTAGAAAATCAAAGATTCCTTTTCAGCCCCATGTGGTAGGAGAACTCATGATCTTGAAATTTAGCTTGGATGTTTTCATAGCTTCTAAGAGCACTTCAAACTGACTTTGGAACCTGAGTGAAAGGTTGTTGGAATCCTTGAAGTATGGAATCAGCGTTTAAACTGTTATTTCGCCTTCTATCATGATACCTATCAGAATTATTTTTAGGCTCTTCTTTCGTCGACAGACGCTTACATGAAACCATTTTCAACTCCTTAGTTTTCAGATAGGTACAAATGATAAGACACTACTGGTAGCTGCTGTAGGGGCAGGATGACTGTGACTTTATAAGACAACAGTGCCTATTGAGTTTAACGTTATGACCGAATAGTCTTTTCGTGACATTTTGTATATAGTTGGTCCGTTTCTAATTATGAACTAGACTTCCAATCATTTTATTCGTCTGTGAAAAGTAAACGGATGATAGCTCATCAGCTTTGATATTCTGCCGGCTGAGAACCGTCTCTTTTCTTATTATTTAAGCTCAACCTTATTTTTCTCAAATAATCGATAAGATTAGAAAAGTTTCGAAACATAAATAACCAAAGAAAATGATCGGGACCAGAACTCACCTTCATAGTGCCAGCTAGTTAGTAAAAGTGGGATGTGACAATTGCTCCTTTGTTTGATACACAAAAAATACACTAAAACAAGGCCATAGTTCATAGAATTTATTCCATAACATATTCTAAGAAATTATGAAAATCTTGCTAAAACTTTAATTCGTAACTGTATTTACACTTCAAACGAATTATTATTTGTCTATTTAGGATTTCACTTCTTAAAATTCTAATTATCTTAATATTTTGATGAAGCTAAACTTATTATATTGCATATAGTTGAACAACAAGAAAAATAATACAGTGAATTCCCCATATTCTGCAAGTAATGTCGTTCTCACTCTGCGTAACAATAAAAATATCTTCTTGATGTTCCGTGGGAACAATATACGTTAGCTGAAGTTACTGTAAAGTATGTAATTAGTATTATTATGTTATTATAATGAGCGCATATTTACTTAGGAATGACGGTGCTTGAATTTAATTTTATTAACCATAAATCAGTTGCTTTACAAATCAACGAAGTTACCAACATATTTTGGGAATAATTTTATAAGAAGATCATTGAAATATTCTATTTTTATAGGCCTATTTTCCACAGTATGAAATTCAAATAGTTCATTATTTCGATTGAACTTAAGTTTGCTTGGTAAGCAATTACTATGGTTATTTTCCGATTTCTGTTATATCTACTTGTAAGTAGTCATGATAAATTGTGTAAATAAACATGTCTGTTTTACTTGTCTTGACAAATTTCAATTGTTTGTAAATTCACAAACAGTGGGTGAACTGACTAGCAGTCCATTGAAAAGTTTATGGCATAAGTCACGTTATAAACTACTTGAGTGAGAAACGCTTACATGGAGAGTGAGGTTGATTATCTCTAAAAATAATAAATAGATATGGGACTAATAGTTTACTCAAGTTACATGATTGGAAAGTTCAATAAACCTTTACAATAGTTATCTTAACATACTGTATCAACAAAAGATGACATTTACGTGCTTAAATTCTGTCGATGTCATCGAGGAAGTGTTTAGCTTTGTGTTTCCAAACTTAAGAATTTTTTCAGCACTGCGCACTGCTGAGGAGTCCCATACTAGGACGAAACGGCCGTCCAGTGCTTCCAGGTTTTCCATGGTGGTCTAGCTTCAACTGACTCATGATTTCAATCTGTGAAATTTCTAAAATCTCCACAAAACCCATTCTGATTATCTATTTCTGTTTGTTTTAATATATCATTATGTCTATTAATCGCATAACCTATCCTGCTGCGTTTCTAAAAAGTGTACAACCTTTCGTTGTCAAAGTTACAAAAAGCTCAATAAGAGAGAATGTACATTATTCAGATGTTCATTTACTGGACTGTTAACATCTAATTGGTGGTCACTCAATATTTATCGCCAGGACCGACCAGGAAGAAAGAAACGGAAACTCGTTGAAATACTTTGCGCTGAGAATTCTATATTGTACCAAAAATATAATATTGAATAAAGCTAATAATAATAATGATAATAATAATAATAATAATAATTGATTGGTCTTCCAAGCC